CCTGAAACAAGTGAAACGCTTCGCCTTCGTACAGGCATCTTTCCTGGGGATAAATACTATGTCTACCAGCCCCGATAGTTCATTTCAGTTTGAGACGTCGAATGGCTAACATGTCTTCTCCCATCGTGATCGATTTCGAAGGTTTTCAGTGGATGCCTCATTGTTACATTGTTAAAGAATTAGCTTTTTACTCCGTGCATGAAGGATATCACAGTTGCTGGTCATTTTTACCTCCTCAGCCTTGGAAAACATTATCACGATCTCAGCAAAAGTGTTTTGCTTGGGTCACAAGAAATCGTCATCATGTGAATTGGAGTGAGGGTGTTTTACCTTATACTCATCTTCGTATTATTTTGCAATATTTGTCATCTATTTATTCTGTCATATACGTGAAAGGATTAGAAAAGAAATTATTTTTAGAAAATTTATTATGTAGAGACATCATAAATCTAGACTGTCCTAAGATAGAGAATTTAAAAAAGAAAAGTTCTTTAACATGTTCGATTCATGCAAAAGGATTTAATTGCTGTGCTTTAACCAAAGCGGCTGCATTTGCTACCTATATAAAAGAAAGTGTGCAAGAAAAAGAGCTCATTTGTCATCAGAATGTCTCATCTGAAGGATGTGGATTATCTAAAACTATTAGGAAAAAGTCGAATAAAAGCAGCTGTACTGAAAAAGTGTCCGAATCATCTCATCAAATCAGTTTGTGAGTGTGTTTTAAATCTTCTAAAAGGAAACGTACCCATCACCAAACGCGTCAAAAATCGACTCGCCCCTTTTAAAAGAACTTTAAGAAAACTAGCGGACAAAAAAGTACCTCTTTTTAAGAAAAGACGTCTTTTGGTTCAAAAAGGTGACGGTTTTCTATCTTTCCTGATTCCTGCAGCAGTCAGTGTCTTATCCTCTCTTGTCCATGGAACACAGTAAGAAATTTGCCTTGGTACCGCTGGATCGTATGCACCAGTTTGAAGATGAACATTTGAGTGATTTAGATACCCAAATTCAAAACATCTTAAAAAAGAAAATGGACGATGAAGAAAAGAAAAATCCAAATTGTACATCCAGGTTCTGCAAAAGTATGTTACGTTTCCTCATGTGAATGCGTCTGAAAAACAACCGCCTGAACAATTTTCTGAGACAGATGTAGAAAAAGAAATTATGCAGACTGTTCCTGTCAAACAGAAAAGAACGGCACAGAAAATAATGGATTTTCTAAAAGAACATCAGATTTCCTGGACACACAATAAAGAACTGATTCTGGACGGTCATGTGTTTTCTGGGTCCAACATTGTTCAACTGATAAACTTTCTGTTGAGAAATAGAACTGAAAGACCTACTGCCTTTGAACAGTTTAAAAATGTACTGAATGTGAATAACTTTCCTCAAGACTTTGTGAAAAACAAACATTTAATGAATGTAAAAACTATGTATGCTAGACCTAAAAGAAAATCCTCTTCGAAACTATGGCTGAAATTGTAATGAAATGTTCATAATAAAAGTTAATTTCTGATTATTTGTGTTATGTTTTTCTTTGATAAAGTTAATATATAAAATCATTTTTCCTGATTAAACTAATATATACATAATCATAACCATTATTTTCTAAAAAAAATATTAAAAAAAACTTACCTTTTATGAAATCCTTTTCAAAAAAAAAGAAACAACACCATAATTTTCAAACTTCTGTTTATTTTTTTTTTCTAAATAAGTTTTTACACACATATGCATGATATTGTGCATATGATCTTTTTACATACAAACCTTTTTTGTACATACAATACATTTTTACAAAAGTCGTTTTCAAAAACCAAATGGTAAGGTGGTAAAGTCTGATTGAATCACTCTTTTGTCCAACACAACTTTGTACATTTTTGTTTCGGGTTTATTCACAACCTTTTCTTCTTTTTGGTTCTCGGGTGATTTTGGAGGGGTTGTGCAGAGCTATGACATCCTTTTGGTCCAGACTACATACCAGACTTTTGATGGCTTCAAAAATTCAGCAAGCTGGGAATTTCGGAAGTTCAACGAAAATCCTCTGACTTTGCAACAAGTTTTCCCAGTGGCCGTCTGGTACGCATAGTTTTTCGGACCTCCTGAAAAAAAAATAAAACATGGTGAGAAAAAGACATAACAGAAAAAAATATGCATTAAACATTTTTTTGGTACATATTAAATAAGGAACTTTTTAAAGGTCCTTACCTGACACGAAGGTTTTGATAATCATCTCCATCCAGTTCGTCGGTAAATTCCCCTAAGAAGTTACCCAAGGGGGGATCGTTGCAACATATTCATGCGACCATTGGTAGCGTAGATGATGGAGTCTGTGTCGTGATACAGGACATCTCGACCCAGCTTCTCCATTTCACTATACAGCTTGAGACGAGCCCAAGCTGTCGTAAAACGTCGCTAGAAAAATGTTGGTCGAGGCATCCTGCGGCACAAACTCCTTTGCAGATTCCCAGCAAATGGCAGCCACCTCAGGCGTGGGAAGAAAGACATCTTTGATCTGAAAATAAAAGAAGAATCATAAGTTAACAGTTCAAAATAGTTATGAGTTAACAGTTTGAAACACACTAAGCTTATAGATGGATAAAATAGAAGAAAACTTACTTTTTTAGTAGGATCCGCCAACATCTTATTAAAGTCTGGCACCGTATGTACATAGGTCAGTTGCGCTTTGTTGACGTTCATGCCCCATCTGAAACAAAAATTCAACATAAATCACAAAGAATTAAAAATGTTTACAAAAAATTTAAGTCCAAAAGAAATCATCTTACCTGCCCCAGAAACTGCTTAGGGCCAACTTGTCGACGCCCAGGGTTCTTGGAAATCTTTCCAGCGTCCAACTTGACGCCCTCTCTTTCTTCATACTGGCGAATACTTAATTTGTCTTCAGGCGTCACACACTCCGAAGGCCAACCGCTACTTTCCTGTTTGATCTTCAGAAAGAGATCAATGTAGGAACGAAACAGGGAAGTAGACGATTCTTTGAAATGATAGACTTCGTAAATCTAGAAAATAAAGAATAAATTTCAGTTATGACAAAAGATTTTAAATAAATTTGGGTTATGACAAATAATTTAAATAATCTTTGAATACTTACATGTGTGACGCGGTAACCTTTCTTTATCGCCAGCTTGACTTCTTCCGATACCCACGTTCCGACAAGAGCTCTTTCACTCTTTCATCGTCTGTGTGGGTACAGGAAGACTGAGACTGTAGAAAGGCACAAGTCCGACACAGGGGGAACATGAGCTTCTTCCTACACCGATAGGGCAGTACCGGGAGATAGAGATGTGTTATGTTTTTCTTTCTAATTAAACTAACATATAATAATAATTTTTGAAAAAATATAACAATTTTCTTAAAATAATAAAAACTTACCTTTCATGCCATTCTTTGAAAAAAGAAAAACACCATAATTTTCAAACTTCTGTTTATTTTTTATCTAAATAAATTTTTACACGCAAATACTGTGCATAACATCTTTTTACATACAAACATTATTTGTACATACCATACATTTTTACAAAAGTTATTGTCAAAACCCAAATGGTAAGGTGGTCAAGTCCTGTTGGATCACCCTTTTATCCAACACAATTCTGAACAGTTTTGTTTCCGGTTTATTCACCACCTTTCTTCTCTACGCTTCTCGGGTGATTTTGCAGGGGTTGTGGAGAGAGATGATCTCACTTCGGTCGAGGCTGCAGACCAGACTTTTAATGGCTTCAAAATTCAGCAACTGGGAATTCCGGAAGTTCAATGAAAATCCTCGGACTTTGCTGCAGGATTTCCCAGTGGCCATCTGGTATGCGTAGTTTTTCGGTCCTCCTGAAAAAATAAAACATCATGAGAAAAAAAAGAGATAATAGAAAAAACATTAAACACTTTTTTGGTACATATTAAATAAGGAACTTTTTAAAGGTGTTTACCTGACACGAAGGTTTTGATAACATCTCCATCCAGTTCGTCGGTAAATTCTCCTAAGAAGTTTCCTAAGGGGGGATCGTTGCAACTATTCGAGGCATAGATGATGGAATGTGTGTCGTGATACAGAACATCTCGACCCAGCTTCTCCATTTCACTATACAGCTTGAGACGAGGCCAAGCTCGTAAAAGTTGCTAGAAAAATGTTGGTCGAAGCATCCTGCGGTACAAACTCCTTTGAAGATTCCCAGCAAATGGCAGCCACCTCAGGCATGGGAAGAAAGACATCCTTGATCTGAAAATAAAAGAAGAATCATAAGTTAACAGTTCAAAATAGTTATGAGTTAACAGTTTGAAACACACTAAGCTTATAGATGGATAAAATAGATAAGAAAACTTACTTTTTTAGTAGGATCCGCCAACATCTTATTAAAGTCTGGCACCGTATGTACGTAGGTCAGTTGCGCTTTGTTGACGATCATGCCCCATCTGAAACAAAAATTCAACATAAATCACAAAGAATTAAAAATGTTTACAAAAAATTTAAGTCCAAAAGAAATCATCTTACCTGCCCCAGAAACTGCTTAGGGCCAACTTGGCAACTTGTCGACGCCCAGGGTTCTTGGAAATCTTTTCAGCATCCAACTTGACGCCCTCTCTTTCTTCATACTGGCGAATATAGTTTAATTTGTCTTCAGGCGTCACACACTCCGAAGGCTAACCACTACTTTCCTGTGGATCTTCAGAAAGAGATCAATGTAGGAACGAAACAGGGAAGTAGACGATTCTTTGAAATGATAGACTTCGTAAATCTAGAAAATAAAGAATAAATTTCAGTTATGACAAAAGATTTTAAATAAATTTGGGTTATGACAAATAATTTAAATAATCTTTGAATACTTACATGTGTGACGCGGTAACCTTTCTTTATCTCCAGCTTGACTTCTTCCGATACCCACGTTCCGACAAGAGCTCTTTCATCGTCTGTGTGGGTACAGGAAGACTGAGACTGTAGAAAGGCACAAGTCCGACACAGGGGGAACATGAGCTTCTTCTTCCTACACCGATAGGGCAGTACCGGGAGATAGAGATGTGTTATGTTTTTCTTTCTAATTAAACTAACATATAATAATAATTTTTGAAAAAATATAACAATTTTCTTAAAATAATAAAAACTTACCTTTCATGCCATTCTTTGAAAAAAGAAAAACACCATAATTTTCAAACTTCTGTTTATTTTTTATCTAAATAAATTTTTACACGCAAATACTGTGCATAACATCTTTTTACATACAAACATTATTTGTACATACCATACATTTTTACAAAAGTTATTGTCAAAACCCAAATGGTAAGGTGGTCAAGTCCTGTTGGATCACCCTTTTATCCAACACAATTCTGAACAGTTTTGTTTCCGGTTTATTCACCACCTTTCTTCTCTACGCTTCTCGGGTGATTTTGCAGGGGTTGTGGAGAGAGATGATCTCACTTCGGTCGAGGCTGCAGACCAGACTTTTAATGGCTTCAAAATTCAGCAACTGGGAATTCCGGAAGTTCAATGAAAATCCTCGGACTTTGCTGCAGGATTTCCCAGTGGCCATCTGGTATGCGTAGTTTTTCGGTCCTCCTGAAAAAATAAAACATCATGAGAAAAAAAAGAGATAATAGAAAAAACATTAAACACTTTTTTGGTACATATTAAATAAGGAACTTTTTAAAGGTGTTTACCTGACACGAAGGTTTTGATAACATCTCCATCCAGTTCGTCGGTAAATTCTCCTAAGAAGTTTCCTAAGGGGGGATCGTTGCAACTATTCGAGGCATAGATGATGGAATGTGTGTCGTGATACAGAACATCTCGACCCAGCTTCTCCATTTCACTATACAGCTTGAGACGAGGCCAAGCTGTCGTAAAAGTTGCTAGAAAAATGTTGGTCGAAGCATCCTGCGGTACAAACTCCTTTGAAGATTCCCAGCAAATGGCAGCCACCTCAGGCATGGGAAGAAAGACATCCTTGATCTGAAAATAAAAGAAGAATCATAAGTTAACAGTTCAAAATAGTTATGAGTTAACAGTTTGAAACACACTAAGCTTATAGATGGATAAAATAGATAAGAAAACTTACTTTTTTAGTAGGATCCGCCAACATCTTATTAAAGTCTGGCACCGTATGTACGTAGGTCAGTTGCGCTTTGTTGACGATCATGCCCCATCTGAAACAAAAATTCAACATAAATCACAAAGAATTAAAAATGTTTACAAAAAATTTAAGTCCAAAAGAAATCATCTTACCTGCCCCAGAAACTGCTTAGGGCCAACTTGTCGACGCCCAGGGTTCTTGGAAATCTTTCCAGCGTCCAACTTGACGCCCTCTCTTTCTTCATACTGGCGAATATAGTTTAATTTGTCTTCAGGCGTCACACACTCCGAAGGCTAACCACTACTTTCCTGTTGGATCTTCAGAAAGAGATCAATGTAGGAACGAAACAGGGAAGTAGACGATTCTTTGAAATGATAGACTTCGTAAATCTAGAAAATAAAGAATAAATTTCAGTTATGACAAAAGATTTTAAATAAATTTGGGTTATGACAAATAATTTAAATAATCTTTGAATACTTACATGTGTGACGCGGTAACCTTTCTTTATCTCCAGCTTGACTTCTTCCGATACCCACGTTCCGACAAGAGCTCTTTCATCGTCTGTGTGGGTACAGGAAGACTGAGACTGTAGAAAGGCACAAGTCCGACACAGGGGGAACATGAGCTTCTTCCTACACCGATAGGGCAGTACCGGGAGATAGAGATGTGTTATGTTTTTCTTTCTAATTAAACTAACATATAATAATAATTTTTGAAAAAATATAACAATTTTCTTAAAATAATAAAAACTTACCTTTCATGCCATTCTTTGAAAAAAGAAAAACACCATAATTTTCAAACTTCTGTTTATTTTTTATCTAAATAAGTTTTTACACGCAAATACTGTGCATAACATCTTTTTACATACAAACATTTTTTGTACATACCATACATTTTTACAAAAGTTATTTTCAAAACCCAAATGGTAAGGTGGTCAAGTCCTGTTGGATCACCCTTTTATCCAACACAATTCTGTACAGTTTTGTTTCCGGTTTATTCACCACCTTTCTTCTCTTCGCTTCTCGGGTGATTTTGCAGGGGTTGTGGAGAGAGATGATCTCACTTCGGTCGAGGCTGCAGACCAGACTTTTAATGGCTTCAAAATTCAGCAACTGGGAATTCCGGAAGTTCAATGAAAATCCTCGGACTTTGCAGCAGGTTTTCCCAGTGGCCGTCTGGTATGCGTAGTTTTTCGGTCCTCCTGAAAAAATAAAACATCATGAGAAAAAAAAAGAGATAATAGAAAAAAACATTAAACACTTTTTTGGTACATATTAAATAAGGAACTTTTTTAAAGGTGTTTACCACCTGACACGAAGGTTTTGATAACATCTCCATCCAGTTCGTCGGTAAATTCTCCTAAGAAGTTTCCTAAGGGGGGATCGTTGCAACCATTCGAGGCATAGATGATGGAATCTGTGTCGTGGCACAGGACATCTCGACCCAGCTTCTCCATTTCACTATACAGCTTGAGACGAGCCCAAGCTGTCGTAAAAGTTGCTAGAAAAATGTTGGTCGAGGCATCCTGCGGCACAAACTCCTTCGCAGATTCCCAGGAAATGGCAGCCACCCCAGGTCTGGGAAGAAAGACATCCTTGATCTGAAAATAAAAGAAGAATCATAAGTTAACAGTTCAAAATAGTTATGAGTTAACAGTTTGAAACACACTAAGCTTATAGATGGATAAAATCGGTAAGGAAACTTACTTTTTTAGTAGGATCCGCCAATATCTTATTAAAGTCTGGCACCGTATGTACGTAGGTCAGTTGCGCTTTGTTGACGTTCATGCCCCATCTGAAACAAAAATTCAACATAAATCACAAAGAATTAAAAATGTTTACAAAAAATTTAAGTCCAAAAGAAATCATCTTACCTGCCCCAGAAACTGTTCAGGGCCAACTTGTCGACGCCCAGGGTTCTTGGAAATCTTTTCCAGCGTCCAACTTGACGCCCTCTCTTTCTTCATACTGGCGAATACTTAGTTTGTCTTCAGGCGTCACACACTCCGAAGGCCATCCGCTACTTTCCTGTTTGATCTTCAGAAAGAGATCAATGTAGGAACGAAACAGGGAAGTAGACGATTCTTTGAAATGATACACTTCGTAAATCTAGAAAATAAAGAATAAATTTCAGTTATGACAAAAGATTTTAAATAAATTTGGGTTATGACGGAGTCTGCAGTTGAAGAAGGGCGCAAGTCCGACACAGGGGGAACATCAGCTTCTTCCGGCACCGATAGGGCAGTACCGGAAGATACAGATTCCGTGGAGGAATCACTCGGCATTGGATAATTCCAAAATAATCTTCCACATCTCCTAAAGCTTTCCGTGATGATTGTTGGATGTCCCACAGGGTAGACGCAATACTTGTTCACCTGTGAATAAAAACAAAAAAAAGTCAGAAAAAACACATCATAATAAAAATATACAGAAAATTTAGAAAAGTTTAAGTAAACATTTTTGAAATAATAAAAAGTACGAACCCATGGATAGAGTGATGTAAAATCCACATATTTTGCGTCTCCCTCGTGGAACAATTTGAGGGCATTGGTCCTTCCTCCAAAAAAACGACTCGCGAGGATTGAGTCGGATCCCTCAGATGGTGTTGATCCAGGAAAGCTTGGAGATCTGGATTTTCCTCCTTCTCTCTTTGAAATTCATGCTCCCACATTTCGATGACGTGGAAACCCTGGGTGCGAAGCTTTCTTGTCGTCTCTTCTGTCTTTTCTCTTAACGTTGCCATGGAAACCCCTTTTCAGTGGATGTATGATATCACCATCGTAACACGAACTACATCCGTGAAAGAAACAGCCCTAAAATAATACAAATATATTAATAGTGTTCCACATGTAAATTAAACATTAAAAGTGTAAAATCATTAAAAAGAATCATATAGAAAATAATTTACTTTTTACTTACCTGAAACTGATAGACGGTTTGTGTTTCTTGGCAGAAATCCGTCTACCGAGATTCCGGCGACTCTGTGCTCTCCGGAACCGTTCAACGCATGTTGAATCTGTATGCCTTCCGAAGCAGCAACAAAGTCCAACCATCGGATCGAATCAGGGCTGTAATTCGTTGAGTTGAGTTGATGTAGCCGTGTGTGGGCACCATGGCAATCGTGTCGGGTTGAATGTGGCCACTCCGATACGTTGCCATACAGGCTGACGCAATGGTCACGTATCTGAAAAGAACAAAATAAGAACGATTTAATGAACTGTAAATATGATTATTATTGTATAAGAAAATGAGAAAATAACTTACTGGAATGGATCCACATTCGCCACATCCAAAAACTGGGCTCGAAACTCCAGGACAACAGCGGCGAAGAATATCCACGTCCGATCTATTGAATATAAAAAGAAAATGTTAAATATACGAAACATAAAATATAAAATTAAAGCAAGAAAAAAGGAAAAAACATACCTGCAATAGGCCAGCATCTCATCTTGAAAGTTAAACACATCCCCCTTGTGTGCTTCATGCCAGGACAGAAATGCTTGTCGGGCTGAAGTGCTCATGGTATCCGGGCTGTAGTACCGGGCTTCAGGCAGCGGTCCGACATAACTCTGGTTTTCCCTCGAGTTAAAGAGATGAGGGAAGTATCCTTTCTTTAATTCGGTGAGACCGAAGCATCCCGGTAGTTTGGCCAACGCCATCGGTAAAAAGTTTAACGAGTCTATGACCCGAATGTTGAGACTGGGGTGTCTTACACTCATGATCATAGACCCGTTAGGGATCACCTCCGGCGCTGTACCTTGCTCCAAGAGCCAGGCCATCACGAACTGCCCATCGAACCTGTAAGTAAAAAAAATATCATGAATAATATTGAAAGCATAGTCATAATTAAAGCATGCAAACTATGGTATTTTTAACTTACCCTTTCATGTTGTGTGCCACGGCGGTGAAGCCCTTGTGCTCTGTAGAGAACAGCCAAACGCAGAAATCTTGGCATGCTTCGTAACCCGGGAACACCTTTTCAGTGCCGTCGGCATACTGAGCCACCGCGAAATTTACGAGATGCTCCCCCGAAGACTGGTCCGTTTCAAAGTCAAAAAAGATGAACTTGTCATCAGACTTCTTCGGAGCAACACGTCGCAAATAACAACGGTGCTCAGCAGCCACGACAAACTGGCCGCAAGACGGACATTTGGTGGTACCGCACTTATGCAGATCTTTAGGGCACTTACGGCGTCCAATCACTTGGCAGCAGTCCCTGCACTGGTATACCTGTAACGACAATAATTTTTTTAACATAACAATTTTGAGAAAATTATATGATAAATAACTTTGGTCATTAAGATATATTTTCAAAACACTTACCCTATCGCAAAGTGAAAACTCTTGGTTTCCAGTGAGGGCTTTGTGTGCTGCATAACAGGCATCGGATCGGCAGAGACGGTCACAGTCCTGGCATCGTTGGGGCTGGCCTGGAAAGCAGTCGGTCCTCAAGGCATATAGGGCAGGCATTGGCACATCTATGGACTTTCAGGCATTTGGTAGGCCTTTTCACAGGCTGTGCAATAATGGTTGCTGCCGAAAAATCCTTTCAGAGATTTGATGACGTCATAATGTCCATCGTGGAGCCACAAATTGATCCGTTGAGGCCTCTCTTTCCTTTATAGACCACCTAAAACATAGACAAACATTTTCTCTTAAAGTAAATCTTGAACTATTTAAAATCCATTTTTAACATCTAAAAATTACCTACACATTTAATTTTTCCAAGTTAATTATACATGGAAATGAATTGCATGCATAAAATACAAATTAACCGAAAATAAAAAATTTTTACAAGTTATTTTTTAACATCTAAACGAACAAAATAATTTAAAAATTTAACATAAATGAATTAAAATAAAACGCAAATTAAAATAAAATTTTTACAAGTAAATTAAATTTTAAAAATTAAAATGATCAGAAAGTAATTAAATTTTTAACCTTTTTCCAAGTTATATTTTTAACGTCTAAATAAATTGCATGCATAAAATAAAAAATAATTTGAAAAGTAATCTAAAAATAAAAATTTACCATGCATGTAAATTTACAAGTTATACATGGGAAACGAAATGCATGCATAAAATACAAATTTAATAAATATAAAATTATTTTACGAGATATATTTTTTAACATGTAAATGAATTGCATAAAATAAGTTTAAAATTTTTATCAAAAATAAAACATTTTTACAAGTTATATTTTTAAGGTGGAAATGAAAAAGTCACCATGCAGAAACAGAAACTTTAAAAAATAATTCAAAAATCGAACAATTTAGAAATCAATTTTTAGCCGTTATATTTTTAACATGGAAAAAAAACAATATGCATGAACAAATATTAATCTTAAAATTTAAAGTAAAATAAATTTTCAGCCTGCATTCAGTTTTGTCAAGCTATATTTTTCAACGCATAAACAAAATGAAAGTATCACCAATAAATACATAAACTTTAATACAAAAACTGTTTAAGATTAATTTTAAAAATCATACCAAAATAAATTTTTTTCATTCACAATTTGACAAATAAACAAAATGGAACTAAAATCAAATTACGATTTTAAAATAAATAAATATGTAGAAAAAATTCAGGTAATTTCAAAGCTAATATTTACAAGCAGAAATATCTTGAGACAAAAATTGACTTACCCTATTCAAATTTTCCGAAGAGAAGACTGCAATTTGTGTGTGATCCAAGTGCTCTTCAAATATGGCAATTTCTACAAAAGTGCAAGGGCCTAAAGGATCACATTCGCATCCAAATGAAGTTCCCTTGCACGGTTCATCAGAGTTGGATTACGCCGATCTCTCAATGGCATTGATGGCCCTCGTGTCCTTGTTCAAATGCGCCAAGGCATAAACAATCGCTTTGGCACAGCACAGTCCTTCCTCGTCGTAGGGAATAGACAAAATAGACTGTTTTCTTAATCTGTCCATGGAGATGTTGACTACTTTCCTATTTCGTCCGGCACCCACAGGTCGTTTGATGGTGATCACATCCAACTGCAGAATCCCGTATCCAGTTCAATTTTGTCTTTAGACTGCAACACTTTCATCACGGCAGCCAGAATCTTTTCAACTGTTAAAGTCGAAACTGCCATCAGGGACGTGCTAATCGGCTTATCCAACCCATCTGCTTGGATACAGAATCGGATGAGGTCTGATGGGCCCAGATTTGCTGTTGTCCGGCGAATAAGTTGCTCAAACAACTCCCGGACGGTGTCAGGAATTCGGACCATCGGGATGCCTTGCACGTTCTGAGGCAGCCGTTCCATATCTATACTGGCCCGGAAGGTAATCTCCTCGGCCTGATATTTATGGTTCCGTCGACGAGACTTTCTCTGTGAGTACAATCGCCTCATCGATCTGGAAAAAAAATAAATAAGTTTCAGTAATAATCAAACATTTTCAAAAATACATTATTTTAATAAATCATGCAAGAAAAGAAAAATATATACCGAATCGTTCATTCGGAACCAGCCATATACACAGGGCCACGAGCTGATGAGGAAGAAGTCTAAAAATAAATACATTAATTTTTAGTACTAAGAAAAAAGTATTCTAGCAGAATCTAAAAATGCTGAAATACTTAAATAAAGATATACTTAAATATTTACCTCAAATCCGGAACCCACTTGATAATACAAGGGTAGATCCATAGGATTTTCCAGAAAAATCTGATCCACTTCATCGATTAACTATCAAAATAAAATAAAATACGTTTAAAATACATTCAAATAGTAATAAAATACGTTAAATAAAAAAGTGCGTTAAAAATACGTGTAAAAACTTACATCGTCATCTGAGTCCCGAAAAGGAAAGTCAGGATCTTCAAACAGGACCTAACAATTAAAAATTTAAATAAATAAAACATTCAAAAAGAAATAAAATTCGTGTTTAAAA